AGGTCAATCGAAGGTTACAAGCCGACACTTATTGCTTAACAATAACGAAGTGTTGCTTATCTTTTAAAAAGAAATACTCTTTTTCAGAAAAACAAGCTACCTGTAATGCAACACGTATAAAACTGGTAATTATTTTTGAAAATTTGTCCTGAAACGATACTAACGAGTGGCTGCTTATGCGCAATTTTTTTTTTACAAACATATTTTCGTAAATTATCATATCTGTGGTACATCGAGAGCGCCCAGCATTTATGGTGGGAAACCGACTTCAGTAACGTTATCCTGATTTCACCACATGCTGGACATAACTAAATCATCTTTGGCTACATACCTTCAAGTTGTACACAATGCCTGTTCAACTTATGGTCAATACTTTTTTTATAAGATGCGTAAGAAAGAGCGCCTCCACTGCTTTCAAAAATCACCCCAATCTTGCGGGCAAGTATTTTGAGAACCTTTTTCCTAAGTAGGGGGGAGGGGAGGCGGGGGTAGGAGACGATTACCGAATGGGTAACATATTTAGTTAGACGCATGTGACTGTTACCCAGCGTAGCTAAAGCTGACAAAACTGTACTGGATGTAACTGCTTTTTGTCGCTATTAAAGGCCTCGCACTAATATTTTTGGTCACGCTGCTTGTATAGCATTCATTTGATTTTTCCGATTTGTCCTGGAAAAGAAAGCTACCAACCTGCAGGTCGAAAATATCGTTTAAAAATTTCTCATAAAATTTAAAATTCAGAAGTCCATTGAAAGAAAAACTCCCTCTGGACAACAATTCTTTCTAGCCGCCGAGAGCATGCGTAATCGCCAAAAAAGAACTGGGCCAATCAACGGCTGATTATATTGCGAAAGTAAGTGGATACTTCAAGCTGTTTCTCTTACGTGAATTAATACTCCTCTTTTCTAAACAAACTTTCAGAGGCTAGTCGAACATTGCTTTTATCACGCACTAGGGCACAGATATTTAAATGAAAAGTTCGTCTGGTCAAAAGTATTAAAATTTATTTCCAGCCCTACAATTTATTTCTAGCCCATCTTTCCAATTTGTATGGTCTTCTAACTCGGAGGTCATACATATAAGAAAGCTGAAATCTTGCGAAGGTGCTTCCTCTCTATGTGCAACCGTGGAAATTTATATTCAGCATTCAGGTACACTTACATTTCGTAGACAAACAACCGTCCAACTCAGAATCCCTAAAAGAGAGAAAGTTGAAATTCCTGGTGGGCATTTCTTGTTAATCTGTAACCCCGGAATACGAATTCAGTTTTCATGTATATCCATGTTTCATGTAGAAATCTGGAAAGTTTTGTGGAGAATTTTCTAATTCGATGATCAGACGAGGCAGAAAGCTGAAATTTTAGGAAAATATCTGCCAGAGTGCGGTTCTGAAAATTGAAAATCGTTTTCTACATATGCTTATGTCTGAAGTGCAAGCGAAGTATTCTAATCCGAGATCCACACAAGACGGGAGGTTGAGATTTCTAGAGAGCATTTTGTACAATACTGCAACCTCAAATTCAGCTTTCATGTACCACTAAGCTCATTTATGATCAAGTGGCCCTTTAAACCGAAAACTGTCGGCATTTTTTAAGTCGGGATCTAGACAAGACAGATGCTGAAATTCCAAAATGCTATTTTCCGACAGTATGCGCCCGTAGAAGTTTAACTGAATAAAAAGCTAGAAAATGATGAAATAAAAAAAATGAAGGAAAAAAAAAAAAACGAAGTGAAAGAAAGGGGATTGGGAGTGTTGATATATTTGTAGTAGGTAAGAAACGTTTCGGTCCATTAAGTCATATACATTTCTTACCGCTACCTCAACTGAACCTCGTCAGTACGGCGGTTGTGGTAGCAAAGATAATTTGGATGCAGGTTTAGTATGTATGTAGTGTATATGGTTTCAAAATAGGAACAGAGGAGAAAAAACAAGAGGTGGAGGACAAAAAGAAAAGTTATAAAATTATATAATTATAATTTCTTCCCTGGGCAATGTTTGTCGCTTTCATGGATTCAACTTCTTGGTCTGAATTACCAATAAAATTAAAATACCAATGAAATTGAAACGTTCTATGATTAATAAGTGATTTACATTAGTCATGTTTGTAATTATACTGAAACAATACATCCTATGTAAAGGGTAAAGTGAATGTTATTAAAACATTAGTATTAGGTAAAGTAAACTGAATGATAAGGTAAATTACATGATATTATAATATTTGAGATTCTATATTAATACATTTCATAAATATTATTTGAGATTCTATACTGATACATAACATATTTTATAAACGAACATATTATATAAACGTAACATTATTACATATTTATGAATCAATATGGTTTACAAAAAATTTTTTAAAAAATTTTATGTAAGATATCAGTTTTAAATTATGCCCGCATATCAAAATAATAAAATATGTGGTTAATAGTTTTATACACATTATTATTTTAGAAAGAAAGAAAGGAAAAGAAAAAATGGGAGGACGGTTGAACGTGGAGATGTACTGCATTTGTTAGACGTTAATTGTATGTAAGCATAGGTAGATATATATAAGGAGAACTGGAAGACCGGGTAGGGTATGTTGAGTAGTGTTTATAAATAGCATTGTAAGAAACAAAAAAGTATTTCTAAGTAGTAAAAAACTGCGCCACACATACGGACAAGTGAAAGTTAAGAGAGCATATTAGTTAAAGAGAAAAGATAGGAAATAAGAAGGAGCTCGGAAACCAGAAAAGATAGAAAATAAGAAGGGGAGGAAAGGGGAGAGAGGGGGGGAAGAATGGGTGGGGAAGTTCGCTCAGAGTTTCAACCCCTCCCCCTCCCCCCAGCCTTCTTGGTTCCCGAGCTAGCGATTTTCGCGCCAGGAACCCTCACGGGGTCGTACGCGGAAAATACGCACACCTGAGAGCGGAATTAAAAATCATTGAGTTCTATATGGACGGGGAACATAATCCCAAAATTTCACCTTTCTAGCTTTTCTGGTTCCCACATTAGCGACTCTCCCGCCAAAACTTTGAGACGCTTGTACGCAGGGCCTAGACGTGCTTAAGTATTGGTTCTGGAATGGCAATTGGCCGGGAACCTACTCACAAAATTTTGGAGCCTGCTTGGGTGCCGAGTTGAAACATCCGGACAGACGCACACACGCACCTGCACAAACACACACACGCACACACACATGTACAAAAACACACGCATACACACATAAACACACCGGGGTCGTCGTAATATGCGTTTTGCAATAACGCATAAAAATGGAGGGGGAAGTGAGACGGAGAAGGAAAGGTGGGTTTCAGAGCAAAGGAAGGACCTTAGACACTTATTTTAAAAACTTTAGCAATTCAGAAGAAAAGGTATAGAAAGGAACTAAAACGAACGACGTAATTGTCGGCTTTTGATCGTTTCGCAAGTGATTCAGTTTGGAAAGCCATTCTGGAAATTGGCCCGCAAGTTGTTAAAGTTGCACGCGAACGCGAGTAACTCCAGAATCATCGCAGTACAAATACTTACTAAGTACAACCCTATATCTAACAACAAGCTTTTGGACTTTGTCCTTTAATCCTGCTACTAACTTTATCCTAATAACCCAATCGCAATAACTTTTAAGTAAACAACGAAACTATCAAAGAAAGTGATTGAAGTATGTGGGCATGTCGTAACATTTGAGAAATTAGGGTTCCATCGTAAAGTGTCCAGCCCACGTCGCTGCCCGGAATACTGTAGGGGTTTATCGTAAATGGAAAATTTCATGTGCCTTATTGCAAACATCGAAGATACACCTATTGTTGTGACATGTGAAGTCCAAGTCGAGGAAGCATACATATTGACCGTAACAGGGTGTCTGGGGTGGAAGAGTGCCTCCAAAAATTTCCCACGAAATTGTGCAAAAGTCAGGGAAATTAACGACTGGGACTACATCAATGTACCGGAAAACCTTTGGCTTGACATGCTTATGTAGTTAAACTTCTGGTCGAAAATACCAGAATTTATTTCCATCCCCTGTCTACGCTCATATTCAATTCGCATTCGCAGGCAGATGAAAATTTCGTTAGAAATACTGCCTCGAAAACCAAACAAGTTAAAAAGCTGAAATTTTGAGGGGGCCTAATGCCCACGCGCAATCATGGAAATCTAAATCCAGCCTCCATGCACTGTTACATTTAATAGATGGATAATTTTTCAACTCAGTATTCACACGAGATAGAAGGTTGGAATTTTAGAAGGACTATTTCTGTTAATTTGCAACTCTGAAAATTCAAATTCGTTTTTCATGCACATCCACTTTTTTATGTAGGGATATGTGAAACTCCTGATGGGGAATCTTCTAACTCGGGAATCAAACTAAGGCCGGTAACTAACATTTTAAGGAAATATTCCTATCAAAGTGTAGTTCTGAAAATTCTAAATCAGTTTCTACATATGCTCATGTTGCAAGTTCAAGCGAAATTTTCCATCTCGGGATCCACACAGGACGAAAATCTGAGATTTCGTTTCTTTATGCGATATTGTAACTGCAAATCCAGCTTCCACAGATAACTATGTTTAGTGCGAACACATGGCTATTTCAACCGGAAACTGTTGACATTTTTTTAGTCGGGACCTGGTCAAAACAGATACTGAAATTTCAGGATGCTTTTTCTTGTCAGTACGTGATCACGGAAATTTATATTCAGCTTTCAACTGCTTTTTACATACAGACAAGTTAAGAAAGGATACTGTTAACATCCAGGAACCATAAAAGATGAAAAGCTATCTCTAGGCGGGTGGGGATTTTCTCTGTCTATCTTGCCCACTGGGAATTTACCCAGTAGAAATTTTTTGACTCTGAAGCCAGACATCATTTTGCTTTACAAACATTAAATTGCTGCGCACTGAACACTCTTAATAATAAGCCTCCGTTAGACAGAAGTGTGCGAAACCAACGGTCATATCAGCTGTTCTTGTTTCTCACTTTTTTGCAAAAACCAACGAAAGCAAATTTCTGTTCACAGCTACGATGCAGGTACTTCCTGATATACCGTTATATGGTCCAATAACGCTCATTCGAATTGACAGTATTTTGAAGGAGCATGAAAGACTGTATGGCAATGGCGTAGACATCAGTACGATTCCGGATCTGGATCCTTTTGATATGGTGCGCTCGACTGCTTTTTCTAGCATCGTCGTTTTTTAAGCGAAGTTATTAAAACGTGAAAAATTTTGGCGGAAAGGTGAAAAGACATGCATTGCTTTAAATTGTAATTCAACTCATGCTTTTTTATGCGTTTCTGCTCTGCAGCGATGTTGTCGAAAGATCGTCCCTGTGTGTGTTCTCAAGCGAGTGAACGTTGTCATCCACTTTCAACTCAGCAACCACGGAAATTAGGATGCTGAAATTTTGGGGACATATTTCCATTCCGTATGTCGTCCCCTCCCCTCCCTCTTGCTTTAAAATCTTCGCTCATACGCGCCTAGACCTTACGTACAAACCCTTGAAAAAATATGCTAATTTCTTGGGCAAGAAACGATTTCGCCAACCAGGCAAGAGAGAAGGCTGAAAATTTGTTGGGATCTTCTCTGGGCCTGTTTGAGCTAATTCTAATTCAGCTACGGCGCGGCTTACACTGCGTGTACAGTTTCGCAGTTAGCAATGTGCTGACTCGAAAACTGGCCTGAAAGCAGTGGCTAAATTCTGTTAGAGCATTTTTCATTCATATTGGAAATCGTACACCCAAACTGAGTTCCGATTCGCCTGCACCACGGCGTAGGGCACTTCAAGAATATTTTCAGCGAAGTGGTTATTTCTCTAGCTGTGAAGTTGGAATTTTGCAAGGACACTTTCCCTTACGCAAAATTTACGATGAATTACAGGAGTGATGTAAAGCAAAAATCATTCATGCAGTTAAAGACTTGTTTGCTTTAAATTTAGTGCAAAAACGCATGTTTGTATCGACAAGCCTGGTTCTTTTCAATTTGGATTATTGCACTAACATTCTGAGCGAATGGTCTTGCCCGTCGACTTGATTCTGTATCATCTTTGATTTCAGACGGATTTTTACAAAACGAAAGAAAGTATTCGGGTAATCAGTATGTCGTTGCCCATCCCTAAACCGTACGAATATGAGCGAAGAAGAATGTTATCCAGGGCTGCTGCACCGCCATCTGCTCAAAATGTATCACAAGGAGATGGATTAATGTAATTGCTTTCATTTGCTTTTACAAAAAACAATTTCCAAATTCACCTTGTACTATTTTAGGTTGACGCGAGATGAAGCAAAAAAAGTCGCCGATAATTTGAGAAAAATGTGGGCAGAGCGAGAAGTGGGTGCTACTGCATCTCGTCGTGGCGCGCGGCCACGTAACGAGTGATAACTTTTCAATTTCGATTTTTTTCAGTTTCGGTTTCAAATTTTTATGCGTTTTTGCATGTATGCAAGTGTGAAAACGCATATTGCGACGACCCCGATGTACATGTGTGTGTGCGTGTATGTGTGTGTGTGTGCGCCTGTCCGGGTACTTCAACTCGGCACCCAAGCAAGCTCCAGCGCAAAAATGTTGCGAGGGGCTTTCCCGGCCAAGTGCCATCCCAGGACCGCGGTACCAACCCTCACGCAAGTCTGGGCCCCGCATACGAGGGGGAGCAGCACCGCAGTCTGCTCAAAATTCATCCCAAGAGGATAGATTGGCGCAACTGCTTTTATTTGCTTTTACAAATTTGCAAATTTATATTGTAATATTTTAGGTTGACACGAGATGAAATAAGATTCATCACCGAAAATTTGGAAAAAATGTGGGCAGAGCGAGCAATGGTTACTACTGCATCTCCTAGTGGCGCGCGGCCACGTAACGAGTGATAACTTTTCAATTTCAGTTTTTTTTCAGTTTCGTTTTCATATTTTTATCATAAGTCATTTCAGGTCTCCGCGGGATTCGACGAAGGAATTCGAAGAAAACTTGAGAAAAATGTGGGCAAAGCTAGCAATGGGTACTACTGCATCTCCTCGTGGTGCGCGGCCACGTAACGAGTGATAACTTTTCAATTTCGGCTTTTTGAGCTTCGGTTTCATGTTTTTATCATAAGTCATTTTAGGTCCCCGCGGGATTCGACGAAGGAATTCGAAAAAAATTTGAAAAAAATGTGGGCGCCGCGTGCAATTGGGACTACTGCATCTCCTAGTGGCGCGCGGCCACGTATCGAGTAATAACATTCCAATTTGGGGTTTTTGAATTTCGGTTTCATGTTTTTATCATAAGTTATTTTAGGCCTCTGCGGGATTCAACGAAGGAATTCGCCGAAAATTTAAGAAAAATCTTGATGTCACGTGCAGCGAGTACTATTGCAACTCCCCAAGGCGCGTAACAAGTGACAACGACAGCAATAGTACCAGTATTAGTAGTGATAGAAATTAGTAGTAATAATAGTAATGATTGCTTTAATCATGGTTGCTTCGCATGGTAATATGAAAATTGCGATTTGTTTGCTGATTGCTCGGAACACTCGATTGACTGAAATGTGAGAAGGCTAAAAGTGCATCCTCTTTGCAGAAAATCGGGCTGCATCGCTTGTGAAAGATTCGTTTGCAGCATAATGGAATGTAATTAACCAGAGCCAAATAGACCCTCAGCTGGCCTAGTCCAGCAGCGCCAGTTGTCGGGCTGCTTCCTATCTCGCGCTTTCACAAACACCCCACTCTCGAGATTTTGGGATGTACAGCTAAATAAAAATTGACTTGTCAAAAGAAAATGTTTCGCTCGC